TCTCAGGGTTTTGTGCATTTCGCATCTACGAAGAATTCTATCCCGTATCGTACTCCGCAGAGTAAACGATAGGTGATGTGACCATGATGTGACCCGGTCGCATCGGTCTGTTCTAAGGGGATCTTGAATGGAAGCGAAAACTGATGTGACTAAGGCCCCCTACTGTACGGTTTCAAACGGTAGTGGAGTGGAGCGCATGTATGCCGGCGCATGCCCGTGCACCAAGAAACGTGAAACCTTTCCAGGCTCCTGTCTATTTTCTTTGGGTACTCTGGGGCCATCAGCCTGATGCTGTCTACACGCCTGCAAATGTACCGCCTTGTTTCCGATTCTTAGCCCGAACGCCAACCCCAAACCCCCCCAAAGACCCTCAACCCTCTAAACCTCAGAAAACTACATTCCCAAAAGCTCCAAAGCCAAAGGAAGTTAAATCTGGATGCGAAACCGCTGATGTGCCCAGAGCTTCTGGAAGTTGCATTGCCCAAGACAGCGCATCCAAGCTTCGCAAGTCGATTTGAGCACTGCAAAATTGGCACGTGCCCCGCCCTGCCTGGGTGGAGGTTTAGAATGTGTGGCTTTTCAATCCAAGGCTTTCCGTTGTGGCCTGGCATGAGCTGAATTTTGTGTTGTTCGGTGTTTCGGTCACTGCAGGGGCTGTCGGGGTGGGCGGAGGGGCCAACAGGCAGGCTGTAGTTGTGTGGTTGCTTGTAAATGAGGAGCTCTGAGACGTCTCTCTGATCATGCTCAAGTTAGCACAGAGTGCCCCAAGCCCCTCCAGGCCAATCCAAAAGGGCTGTGGGTTTGGAATCTAAGCTCTAATAGCCCAAACCCTTTTATGCAAGACCATCGCATTTTCGGACGCTTCGCTTGCTAAGTCTCTCCGTCTAGCATGGCAAGCAAAAGAGTGCGTCCGCTTTTGCCTGGGTGAGTTGATCAGGGTGAGAACAGTCTAGGAGCCTTACATGGGTTGAGACGATAGTCGGGGATGCAGTGTTGGTGTTGCTCGTGCACACAGGCTGGCGGCAAGTTCGCTGCTAGCTTCTCTAGTCAAGCACTTCCCACGCATCACGACACCAAGGTCTTCTGTTCTATCTGTCCTCTTGTTCTACCTGTTGCGTTTGCGTACTTCCTGGTTGAGCGCTAGGATCTCAGACTGGCAGCTTGCAGCAGAAAGCCATCCAACAAGCAGCTGCATCTGTAAGTCTCAGCAAGTATGTGAGGTCTGGCCCATGGATACCTCTTCATGGCCGCAGAACCGCGCCAGGGTGATACAGGAGATCCGTGCAACAAGATGCGGCGTCTTGCCAAGACTTGCAGGTTGATGTTGATGCTTGGCCAGGAGGTGAGATCTTCGTGCAGGCTCTGAAGCAGGCCTCAATTCATAAGCAAACACTTGCATGTCCGTTCAGCCTGCTTTGATCTCTGACTTGGCTGGCCAGGTGCACATTGGACTGATGGTTTATGTGCTGCTGATGGTGGGTGTGCTTGGCGCGAGGGGTTCAGAGTTTGGGCTGCCTCTGGTACCGCTGCTGCTCCTCAGCGGATCTGTGAAGCCGCCCTCCTGTCCTCATCAGAACTAAGGAAGTTTTGAAGATCACTGTTCCCTGCATCTGGTTTGCATATGACTCAGGTTTGTGGTGATGTGGTCCTTGCATGGCCTAGATGGATACCTTTGGGCCAATTTGCCATTGGACCGGGCAGCTCGCATATAAACCGAGCTGAAACAGTACACCCTAGCGGAGTGCAGTCCTGATCGTTCCAGGTCAGCCTGCTTTTTTTGTCAAGCTGCATGCTAGGACGCTGCCACCGAGGTCTTTGACCTGGACGACGCAGATCCCGCGTTTGAGGAAGGGCTTGATCACCAGGCAGCCAGGGTTTTCCTGGTGGCTATCTTTCAGTCAAGAGTTACCTTGTCTCAGAAGAGCTTCAAGGAGAGGCGTGTTTGAATGTCATCACTCACAATGACAAGCCTTTGCTAATTTGGGAGAGGCGCCTCTGTGCAGCCACTGGTATGTCAAGCAGGTTGCCATTGCGAGAGAAGCAGAAGGGAATACATTCTTTTTCTCGGAGACTTGCTGGCTGCTGCCGTGCCGCCTATGTTGCTTGAAACAGGTCTATGAACAAGCAGAATGCCGCGTCCCAGAGCAATCGCCAGCGCCGCCGCAGATAGTCGTTTCCAGGAGAGGTCAATCAGATGGTTTTCTGGTTCAGCAACGGCCATGCTCTGACGCTGAGTGGTTCCCGTCCTCAAAGTTTGCAGGGCGTCGCTGACTATACCCACGGCAGCGGCGGCGCCGCCTGCTGCCCCATTTGTAGCGCCGCCGGTGGCCGTGCATCCTTCGCGGCCCGGCTCGCCCAGCTCTCCTTCCACATTGCGACGGCAGCGTCGTGCAGGCTGACAGGGTTGCAATCGCAATTTTTTGAGCCCATAGCCCAGAATAGAGACTTTGGAGGTTCCGGGCTCCTGCAGCATGGCATGTACGTAGCAGCATGACATGCGGGACGAAAAGCCAGTTGCTGAACGGACATCTTTTCAGTCATGTTTTGCTGCAGGTAAGCCTCCCGAAGAGACTGGCACAGAAAGGCCGACCCTCCAGGAGTTTGATTGCCGCATGTCCATGTCTATCGCAGAAGTCGCAACTTCAGGTGAAATACAGTGGAACTCTGCGTGCGCCAAAATGACATCACATACTTGACTGAGCTTTGAGGACCAGGAAGAGCATGAGTTCTGAGCCATGGCCGGCAAGGTTCCAATCTCCGTGCAGGGCTTACGAGATGACGTCTCTCACAACACTGCGAAAGAAAGATGCCAAAAAACAAGCAGTTGCTGCATTTGAGGCGTAGGGGAGAAGGGACCTTAAACTGTGTTGTGAGCTTGCTGGCGGACATCTCTCTCATCAACGTCGATCGCGATCTGTAAGTAAGCACAAACCGCTTCTGGACGATGACTTAGTTCTAGACCCGGACTTGGGAGGTTAAAACAAAGTCGCTGAACGTTCTGCACGGTCCAAAAGCCAAACCCTCTCCATTGCTGACCCAGCCCTTTCCCACGATCATATACCTAACAGCTTCTTGCGGGCTGGATGGCATTCGTCTGGATACCATGGAGTCGGAGGAAGACGAGGATGAAGTGGCAACCTCAGGTATCGATCGCTTCACGCACAAGACAGTTGTGTCGTGGTGATTGCAAATCATGCGCCTGGAGTTGTCAAATCCTCAGGAGTGGTTCCTCGTCGTGCATCCAGTGGCCGTGCGTGCCGCGCCTCGGGAGAGTGCTGCCAAGCGCGGAATGCTGGCTGCGGGCCAGCGAATTCAGGTGCAAAATGCAGTCGAAGAAGTGTGCCAATCATTGTATGTGCGCTTGGACTTTGCTCCCTCTCAGTGAACCTGACCAAGTGCATTGACATCAATGCAAGCCTTCAGTTGCCTGGACTGCAACTTTCTGAATCGGACTGTGCCATCACATCATATTCCATATAGTGAGAAGCTGCCCAGCTTCTAGAACAAACCTGGTGGCCAAAGTTGAGAGCTCATATTGCCAAGTGTTTGTCGTTGGCTCACCAAGGTCCCAGCACTTGTTTTTGCGGATTTGCTGCAGGGTGCTTCCACTGATGAAGTGTCAGAATCCATTGCTACAAGTTTCAGATTCAAGACGCTGTTTACCGGCGTCTTGTTTGCTGCAGGTGCGCCCTGGACGGCTGGAAGACACCGGCCGAAAGTCCTGGGTCAGGCTGGGTAGTTGCTTGTTTCCTCACCTTGTGAGGAAACCCGCCTCCTTTGGTCAGTTCTCCGCAGTCTGGCAAAGGTTGCTCTCGTTACTGCAGTATGTTCGCTCGACAAGAATCTTGACGCCCTGAGGCTCACGCTGCTCGAGGTTTGGAAGTGTTGCGGTGCTGCCTCCTGAGAAATCATCGTCTTCAATGCTTCAAAGTAGGCTAAGGTCAGAAAGACCGCGTCTTAATGATGCCCTGACCACTCGAAGACACAAGACATTGTCCCAGTGCAGCACGCTTGCTGCGGCTTTGTCAAAGCAGATCTAGGCCACTTCCAGAAATGCGCGCGGCTTCGTTCCGCTGGCAGATGCAGGTCAGGAGATGCTTCCGTGTTTTTGCCCACAAAGCCCTCCTGAATAAAGCTCTGAGGAGGCTTTCCTCTCCTTCGTGGCCCCTTGGGAACCGGGGAGTGCCCAGCCGACACGGAGCAGGCCTGCTTGGCAGAGCCTTTGTGCGCAATATAATATAGCACATGCATCTCCAAAATCTTCTGTATTCAAAGCACACAGATCGCGGGCAGCAAGAACAATAATTGCTGTAACTTGCAAAGCCGTAAATTAGGGACGATAGAGACTGCTCAATTTGTGCCAGGACCTGATCTCAAGACTCTGTACCAGGGCTGTAACAGCATTGGGGGTAGTAGCAGTCAAGCGGAGTGACGTGTCCAATATCCTGCATCCTGACCCCTGGTCCTAAGTTGGTTGGCTTCTTGCGCTGGTGGCCTCTGGACCCACTGCCGCCTGTGCAACCTGCTACGTGCCTTGGCCAACACATGTTCAGCCAGGACTTCCAGGAGAGCTTGTGCTTCAAGTCGATGATAGTTCTGCTGTCCGGTCTTGTCTGCTGAGCGTCTTGGCGGCAGCTGAGATTTGGCGGCGCATGGCTCTGCCACTGGCAAGGGTCTGGTGAACATGACAACATCAAGGCTGGTCTGGAAGCCCCAAGAAGGCCTTGTGCGCAAATAGAGCTTTCCCCCTCCTTCTGTGTGGCCTTGCCACGGTAGCTCATCAGAGGACAGCAGCAGGGTTTGAATGTGCAGGCTTGACAGCGGCCGTGTGGTACCTGCTTCATGAACTTCATGATACTGATACTTCATGTGTCTATCGCTGGAAAGGATTGCATGTTGCTGAAGCATAATTAGGTTTGAGTTGCAGCAGGCAAAGTGGATCTCTGCCGGGGAACTCCAGCTGGAGCTGGCCTCAGGCCTATCAGGTAAAAATGGACCGTTGTGGATGTCGCGTGCGGCTTTGCGGCAGCAACTGCCCAGGTTGGCCCAGCGGAGACGAAGGCCGAAACGAGCTGAGCCATATCGAGCCATGTGCTCAGGGATAGATTCAGATGGCTGCTGCGCGAGGCCGGCGAGCTGTGCCGCTGGCTCGAGGAAGACATCGGCTTTGGTCCAGACTTCTCTGCTGCTCGGCCGATCCGAAAGAACAAATGCATGGCGAAAAGTTTTGATACCGCAGAGATCCATGACTAGCTTGACACTCAACGTCATTTTATCCAAATCAAAGGTGATGCTGATCCAGGAGCTGACTTGAAGTCCAAGCATCCAGACTCTGCTCGCAGAGTCGCTGCTCAGCGTATCAATATCACAGCAGATCCTAGGGCGGACGAATGACACTCATGTGTACTTGATGGTTGCCCTAACATGTGTTTGCCATCTGTGTTTGTTTGAGATGCTAGTGCGCAAGCAAATGGTAGACTTCGTGCGCATTGTAGTTACCAAAGGCCAGTAAGCTGATACTCAAAATATTTAGTGCCTATTCATATCTAGATGCCTGGCTGTACATGACAAACAGGAGTGTCTCTTGCAACTCATTCTTGTTGCTTTTTGCCCTGCTGCAGTTCCGTGACTGCTGCCTGATGCTGCTCCTCGTTGTGCTGCTGTTCTTCAAGTCTCCCTCCCCTTCGCCGTCTCATCTGAATTCCAGCGCCTTATGATCATGATGCCTTCGTCAGCCAAGGTGATTCGGCTAAAGGTGATGGTAATGCTCTTGCTATTCTTGCGTGGTAGGTGTCAGGGATCTTTGTCTCGTCATGTACAAGACTGTTGCGATTATCAGGGCGATGCAGGCAATGATGATGGTCAGGATTGATGTAATGGTGCAGTACTGCCGACTGCTGCTGATGGTGATTACTGCTGCTGCTATTCCTTCTGCTCTTCCCTCTGCTACTGTTGATTCTTCTGCTGCGGCTATGGCTACTGCTGGTGTTGTGGAGGACCTTCCCGGCCTTGGCCGATGTGCGCCCCTCTCTGCTCCAGCAGCAATGCGTGGTGCAGGGGTCCTGGTGCATGGTGCAGGTCTGCAGAAGATCTCTAAATAGGGGGCCTTCTTGAGTAAGTCTTAGCGCTGCCATCAAGGATTCGGATTGTGAGTAGGATTCTTGCTTTTGATGCGTGAGTTTACGCAGATGCAGACAAAGACGTCAGCTGTCGTCGCTGCTGTCATTCAGCACGTGTAGCTCGCGCCGCCGCCTGTTCTCTGTCACACGTAGTAGGCAATTCATGCTGTAGTACTCACTTGGCAAGAGCCCAAGCCGTACAGTAGCCCCTTACAGCACGTACAGTTAGATTTCACGAAAGCACTAGGCAGAGTGCAGGATTAGTTTTTTGCAGCCAGTGCACTGAGGATCCATAGACTATCCCTCCACCGACGCAAAAGCACATAGTTTTCGCACGTACAATGTCCCCACCACTGGGAGCCATGCCAAAGGACGACAAGGTGGGGGTGTGCTGACACGAATTGGAATATCAACTGCAAAGGTCAAGCAGCTGTACTAGGCAAATCTCCTTGCATGCGCAAGGATCTGCAGGAAGCTGAGCCGAAGAAGGCAGGCTACCCGAATGCCGCTCCTGTTGATCCAGGTTACTTGATTGCAGTCTGCGCACAGCTTGGGAACACTTTCCGTTCTGAATTGTGTAGCGATGTGAGATGACAAGGCATCCCGCGCATTACGCCAGAAGTTCTACAGAAGTCATGTGTGGAGAATCGTGGCTACGAGACACCGGAGCTCAATGAAGTTCTCATCCTCCACTACAAAGGTAGCTTGCTGCAGTCATGTCAATAATTACTTTAAATGTTTCGGAAGCCAGCCGGGCGTGGCTTTCTGCTGAAGTGCATTGCCGGTTCGCTGAGGCTTCCGCAAGATTGAAGGTCTAGAGGCCTACTGGAATGTCCGTTCCCTTTTCCTTGAATGCAATGGCATCAGAAAGCTTGAGAATTTGGAGTGCATGCCGGAGTTGGTTTCGTTGCAGCTTAGCTGTCTCCAGCAGTATTTGGCGTTGCTCATGTGCGAGGCTTTTAGTGGCTGTCTTCTTGCTTGGCTTAGCCGAGCAGCCAAGGTATTTGCAGTCCAACTGCATCGCTGAGATCGAGGGCCTCGACAGTCTGCAGAACTTGCAGTACCTGAACCTGTCACACAACAGCCTGAGCCGCGTGCAGGGATTGCAAAATCTGCACCGGCTAGAAACCCTGAACCTCTCTGCATCCTGACTGCAACTAGAGCAGTCAGAAGTCAAAGGACGACAGGTTTTGACTGGAGTGCTTGCTTGGAAACGAGGCAAACAAGCTGGAGAACGTGGATGCGCTCGTGACGGGCTGAATCCATTTGTGAGTGCGTGGGGGGGAGGGGAGCGGGGAATTTTCGCAGGATATAAATCTAAACTAGTAGCAGAGCCTTTTGTCCTAACAATCGGACACCGCCCGCACGATATCGGATTTCCGTGAGGTTCTTTAATTAAGTATTCTTGTCGCGGTCAAGGCGGGTTTGGCGCAAAGACCGACGCTGAAAAGCGTGGATGTCAGCTGCTGCTTGGCCAGAGCAGCGTCGGTACTAGAGTCCATCCTGCAAGTAAGCCTAAGTAAGTTGCTCCTATGACCGCGTTATGGATGGAAACCAAAATGAAGAAAAGTGCTTCCTGGAGTTCGAGGGTGGTTGAGCCTGATCAATCTACTTGTCCACCTGCATGGCCTTAGTGGGATGCTGGCCTAGCTGTCGAGCAGACCCAGCTTCCAGGAGCTTTATGAACTCTAAGGCCCAAAGTATGTCGGCACTCCCCCCCCCCCAGATTTGTCCGCAGGAGTTTCTAGTGAGGGTTTACACCAGGCAACTATTTTGAAGACGGTGACTCTCTGGTGAACTTCTGGAGCGAGCATCTCCCCCAGGCGCTTTGAAAGAGTGGTTTACAAAAAACCTCATCTCCGTCACCCCGCATTGCCAGGTGGAGTGCTTGTACATACATCACAATCCATGCTCCCGAGCACTCAAGGATGCAAGGCGAAACTCGGCAATTTTCGGTCTTCTTGATCATTTGTGCACGGCTTTTCGATGTTCCCATAGCCGTTTAGCATTGCCGGTGTAAAGTATTCACAAACGGAGGACTACCTAAAGCTGGTGCTAGGTGAAGCAGTGCCTGCAATTGATTTTCTGAGGACGCTTGGTTTCCACACTTCCGAAGCTCCGCTGGATTGATGAACGTCCCGTCACCGCCATGGCCGCCTGATTGAATTGATGCCGTCATGTTATACATGGAAATGTATTGACACCTAGACTGCACGTTGCTCAGGAAAGGGCTGGCTGTGAAGCTTGGGCACATGGAGGAAAGGAAGCCGAGCTGGTTGCCAAGAAGGCCTAGGCTTTGGCGAGACAGGGGTTCTTTGAAAGATCCCTCCAGCAAAACCACGCGTGAGGAGTTCTGGCAAAAGGAGCAGGACGACAAGCAGCGAAGCTTTGAGAATTTTCGACGTGTCCAGCAGGTCTCTTGGTTAAAGTGTGACACAAGAAGCTGCTTGAGACGGGTTTTGCTATGAGTTTTCGACTCCGGATCTCTGCAGGCCTATGCGGAGAGGGCCAAAGCTCAGCGGCAGGCCGAGGAGACGCGCAGCGCAGCGCGCCAGCAGGCCGTGGCAGAGTTGGAGAAGACAGGCCTGTTGCGGCGTCAGACAAATACTTGCCATTAACAGAACCGTGTTGAATCGTGTTGAAACAAGCTGTTTACCAGAAAGTATGAGGAGATGTGAGGAGCATTGACCTCCCTGGCCCTGCAAGGTGTCTTGGCTGATGGGTTTGTGCTGATGCCAGACAAAGCGAGGCCCGCAACTGCTCCGGCAGGGGGTTATCCGTCTCATTCAGAGCAGAACAAGGAGGTCTTGGCCAAAGTTCAGGCCATCCTTATCAATCGCAAGGAGCAGGCGGCCCGGGACGCTCAGAAGCTGGAGATGGCTGAAGCTGGCGAAGCTATCGACGCTGGCGATGGGGATGACTTGGCAAAAGAGGCCAAGCTCAAGCCTGCTGAAGCAAGCAGCGGAGACCTTGTGGACAAACTGTTACCGGCAGAATCAGCTGGGAAGCAAGATGGGCCACACAAGGGTGAGCAGAACGGAACGCAGCAGGCAATGTCCGTGGCTACAGGAACACCTGAGGAGGCAGAGGAAAAATCGCAGCACGAAGCAACCGCAAAGGGTGAATACCATCCTGTGCGGCAACCAAAAGGTGAACTTGCAGATCTCGACTGAGCTTCAAAAGGAAAAAACAACTTTCCAGCATCTCTTCGGTTGGGTAGCCTTTAGCTTTGCCCCGGGCCCAGGTCTCTCAGCCTTTCTGCGCCATCTCGCAACTCCGGCCTCGACTGTGTTTGTCGAGGGAGGCATGTCAGGGCTGTCAGGGCTCCAGCCGTTCAGCGATGAGCCTTTGGAGTTCTTCATCCTTGGCAGGGCCCGCTACTCGATCAATTGGGCTGGGCACCTCCGGGTGCGCGGCCAGCTCGCAGCGCTTTTGACATTGAAAGCCAGGCCGGACTCCTAGCTCCATGGCACTTTCCTGACAGGTCACACTACCTTGCTTGCAATTCCCTATTCTCCTACCCGGACCCAAAGGAGGTGTGTTCCACGTCTCAGCGCAGTTGCTTGGTTTGTCCCTGCTCAGTGCGGCGAAGCATAACAGGCTTTCCTAGACGTTCGCCAGTTCATGCGTCACTTGCTGCTTCGGCTGAGGGGTCCTGCCTTGCAACTTGCTGAATCATGCTGAATCCTAGTCCTAGCATGTCCCGGCCTGGCTGCTCCGTGAGGTCTCCGAGCACGTGCTCGCAAAGTTTGAGGCACGGGAGTCCATGGGAGGAGGCTTATGACATGACTGACAACTCCAGACCTTGCTTGCCGTTCGATGTCAGGCTCTGAGCGAGTTGATGGAGGCAGAGCTACCAAAGGAGCTGACCCTGCTCTGAGTCCGCAGATGTCTGCAGGCTGTTTGTCTCCCAGATCACATGGGCCCGGGTGTCGTTTTTACATTCACGCCCGGGGAGCTGCCGCTGCGGGAGGCGCGAATTCCAAGACATGTGCAAGCAGAACAGTACATGTTCTTCTTGCTCAGGTTATCTTTGAAGCCTTTGGGCTTAGTGCCGCTGAGAGGCAGCTGTTTCTTCATGTTGCTTCGCATGCTCATGGCCTCAAGCTGCATGACTTGGTGCAAATATGTGCAGATGGTCTACTTACAAGATCTTACAAACGCTTGGAGGAAGAGGTGCCGCCTGAAGCCTAGTACAAGTCAATCATGCGTCTTCGACTGGGCGGAGGACGTACCCTGGCCACCTTTCTGACATGTCTGACATGTGAGTAGTTCACATCGAGGTACGGAGCAAAAGGCCCAAAACCAGAGTCTTGCAGTCTGCAAATCAATACTGTGGCCCCTCCCCGATAGACTAAGACCATCCCCTCTGGTGTGTGCAGTTGAAAAATGAAGTCTTATTCGGTTCAACTGGCAAAAAGAACTGTTCATGTACTACGTGAGCTCCAAACGCGCACGCAGGACATTCCGACGCCCGGCACGAGCAGCACACTCAGCCAGAAGGCAGTGACTGCGAAGTATTTGTTTGCTTGGTTCTTGCACTGTTTGGCCAGCTCCGCATGTTCCGCATGCTCCGCAGATCTGACTCTGCAGCCTATGGAGGCCGCTGCCGCCTTGGCGCGGCGCTGCGCCGAGGCAGCGGCTCTTCTGGAAGACTTCGGGTGCCTGGGTGGATACATTGCTTCATAGACGGATTCCTCATAGTATCTGTGAGTGAAAGGGCTGCTTGAATGGAGTGTGTTCCACAAAGCTTAGCAAAATCAAAGCACGGCCCTCGCACCAAGAACTCTCTCCACCTTTGAAGTGGAAATCGCCCCGGTCGGCTGTCCTGTCTTGCGTCTGGGCACATTGGAAAACAGACTCACAGGTTGCCATACCCATGCATGAGGATTTGCATTTTGCTTTCTCAAGGTACTGTGCTCGTAGTGCCTTGCTTGGGAAGCCGGTGCTGGGCATCGCTGCAGTGCGGCAGTTTCGCCAGCCAGATCAAGACATAGGCCGAAACCGCAACATCATGCCAATGAAGAAGCATTTGGCTGTGCGTGACTTTCTTCGAAAGTTGCTGTCCCAACCTGAGACGAACCACCTCCGCTAGCTCCTGGTCTGGCCGTCACACTGCTGCGAGGCAGACTCGGGTTTCCTTTCTACAGGCATCAAATTCCGTCCATTCCGTTTGAGCCCAGCCGTATCGTGCACGTCTGCAGGCTTCTCCGCAGAATCTTCCCAGATATCAGCGAGTCGCAGCTGGACAGTTGCTTGACAAACCCAGACCCTCCACACTTGGTGTGGATTTTTGGTCTTTATCAACGGCTTTGCCTTTCTTGTGGCTCCAAGCCAAGGTTAGAGAGCTGAAAGAGGTCATCAACAAAGAGACAGGGACCCCGGAATACCAGCAAAGGCAGCTTTCGTACCCCGCGCACTAACTGCCTACTTTTGTCGCTCAGTTTTCTGGCTAGCAAGCTGGTAGCATGGTCTTGCAAAGCTAGCTCGTCGGCGAAAAGGCCTGTGCCACATGCCGCGTGCAGGCTGGTGTTGGCCTCCTCAGAAGAGGCTGTGGAGGACATCTAAGATCTGGAAATGGTTGGCGTTTTGCGACCCGAACTTGTAAGCTTCAGTGAACTTTCAGAAGTGTACTTGAGAGCGAATGCTGAAGCGCTTGGGCTAAAAGAGATCAGTCGACTTCTAAGTTTGGTAGCGGAGCAGGTTAGCTGCTCTTGTGTAATTCCAGGCCTTAGGCTACCGAGAGCCCTGCGCTCTGCGCTGCTTCGCGGCGCCTTCTGATCGTCTTTGCCACCACGATTCTCCCCTGCATCTACGGCAAAACCTGGTGGTTCACGACCAACGCGGGCATCGACGTGCCCAGCCACCTGGACAATTCGAAAGGACCCTACGGCTCTGGGAAAACACAGCCGGCAGGGGTCCTGCTGGACAAGATCGACCCTGGCTTCGAGCAAGCAAGATCGAAAAGGACAGATCCTTCTCCTTTCTGCACTGCTGGTCTTCAAAGCACTCTTCCAGGTTGCAGGGGACTTGATCTACTTGGCGGAGAAAGAAACCTTCGGCTCGAACGACCTCGGCTTCTTTAAGAAGGACTTCGAGACCTTCGGCCCGGACGGCTTCATCTCCTACGGCGAGATCTTGGAACCTGGCTATCAGTCTGGAAACAGGAGCCTGGAAGCGCGCTGCTGCCTGGACTTTGGCTACTCCGCGGACATCGAGGATTACCCGACCGAGTTCTCCATCTACGTTCGGGAGTACGACCAGGTCTTCTCTGCCTGCCTCCTGCTGAACGGTCTCTACGGCGACTTCATCGAAGCGATGTCATCGTCGTCTACAGCGCCGAACAGCTCAGGCATTCCATTGCAGGAATTTCGACGAGACTGCCCTCCTGGATGGGCTCCTGGGTTGCCAGACTATCCGTTGCGGCTTTTCTTCGACAAATTGAAGCTATGGTACCAAATCTTTGATGGTGCAGATGAGCTAGTGGGGCCGCTTGTAGCTGGGAGACTCCAAGGAAAGGCACAACGATTGGCACTTCAACTACGGCTTCCGCGTCCGGACGGAGGAGTGGATGTAGGATCGGACGCCCTGGTCCGACTCTCGGTTGAGGAGGTCAGAGATCCGACCAACCCGACAATCATCCTTCAGAATCCGATTCCATCTGGGATCCAGTCTCTTTGCAACTCGTTGAGGGATGCCTTCAGATTCTCTGATCAAGAACTGGTGTCCAGAAGCATAGAGGATTTCATGGAATTTCGCCGTGGTCGAATGGCCTTCTCGGAGTTCAGCATCGAGTTCGACATGAGGCTTGAAGAGGCCACTACTCGTGCTGGCTTTGAGATCAATGACGTGGCGAAGTTCTACCTTTTCTTCAAGGCAGCTCAGCTTCCGGCAAAGCTGGTGGATGATATCAAATTGCAGATCCAAGGAGACCTCCGCCGCTTCCAGGAAGCCCGAGCTCTCGCACTCCGCTTGGTCCATCGAGCGCAAGAACACCACGACTCCTACTTCATGGGAGATGATGACGACGACTGGGATGAATCCTGGGAAGACGCCTGGCTTGGCGATTCTTACTGGCAAGAGGACTACGATCCATGGTCGGAGGAGTGGCGCGAGGAGGCAGACTCATGGGAGGCTCCATGGCACGATGAGGAGTACTATGGTGAAGACGAGTACTACGACGCGGAGTCCAGAGAGCCTTCCGAGCCGGCTTCCACTCCTGGCAACTCCGCTTCTCCACCTCAGGCGGCATCGTCGTCGGCGTCCCAGGCTCAGGCTTCCGTGGATGAAAACTACCCCATGCACAAAGGCAAGGGCCGTGGCTGCTCCACCTGTGGTTCAAAGTGGCACTCAGCTTCAAGTTGTCCTGTCAACAGTGGGCAAGGAAAAGGCAGCGGAAAAGGCTTGCCTGGCTACTCCGGCAGCAAAGGCGGCTACGGCAAAGGCTATGGCAAGCCTCGTTCCTCGAAGGGCTCCGGCTATGGCAAGGGCAAGGGCAAGAAGGGCAAGGCCAAGTGGTCGCCGTATCGCGGCTACGGGAAAGGCTACGGTGGCTATGGCAAGAAGGGTGGTCATGGCTACGGCGGTGGAAGCTATTTCGGTTTCAGCGAGAAGAAGCTGAACAACAGCTTCCATGGGCCATCCACACGCCCTTCTCCTACGAAGAAGAAGCATGTTCGTTTTGAGGATGAGAACCAGGACACGATCCTCCATCTTAATCGCCCCCAAGCTTCCATGGCCACTGAGTCTGTCGAGGGCAGCCAAGAGGATCCAGCAGAGGATCAAGGCACGCAACCTTCGGTCGAGAAACGCCTGGATTTCTCCTTTGCTCTGGGCATCTTCTCTTCCCTGGAGAGCTACCATACGGTGAAGGGTGACAAACGACGTGGTCTACTCGTGGATCCTGGTGCGGCCTCTGGATTGGTTGGTTCCGAAACTTTGCGAGATCTTCTGAGAGTCCTGCCGACTGAGAAACAGCAGGAAGTGAAGTGGAACCATCAGAAGCAGCGCAATGTCAGCGGCATCTCAGGCAATCCAGAGAGCACCATGGGAGAGGTCACGATACCACTCACCCTGTCTGGAGCTCATGGTGACTTTCGTGCTGATGTCCTAGGACGGCTCTCTGTGTCCTGCCTTGCTTGGTAATCCTGCACTTCGACGGCAACGAGCAGCGATCCTTACGGACTACTTCGAGAATGGCGATGGTGTCTTGGTGGTTCAGAAACCTGATCAAGAACGGCACTACCTCCGCATCCTCCTGACCGACTCTGGTCACTACCTTCTTCCTGTGGATGAGCACTGCGATGTGACAGAGCAGGATGCTTCCAAGGTAAGCTCGCAGCTCAGCTTGTTTGCTTCTGCAATTCGATCACGATGGAGTGATGTTAGGCATTGCTTCCTTCAACAAAGCTCCTGCTCCACTCCGGAACGTGAGCGGTGTGAACTCCCAAAAGGGATCAAGCAAGGCACCTCAGACACCAGTCCTCCGACCTTCTCTACGACTACTTCTGCTGAGAAAGTGACTCGTGAGAACAGGATCTTTCACAAAGAATCTCAGAAGCGGATCTCAGGTACTACCATGGAGGAGTCAACAGCCACTGCCGGCAAAACCACATGCGCCACCACTGAGGATACCTTGCCTACTTCTAGCGAGACCTCATGCACTACCATGGAGGAGCCTTCAGCTACTACCATCGATTGTCATCCAAGCTCAGGGACTATGCTGGAAGGTCGTGCTTTAGCGTTTGAAGTTTGTGTCAGGCACCAGTTCAGCGACCTTCTCTACGACTACCTCTGGGCTTCGTCATCTTAGTTATGACCACTGCAAGCCGTTTCTGGAGGATCCATCTGATAGACGTGGACGCATAGCCAGCGACTCTTGGTCCATCGAGGGGCACTTCCTTGTGAGGCATCACCGAATACCTCGCAGGGTTCTCTTCACGCCGAATGGTTCTATCGACTGCCCCGTGGACAGTGACCAGCTGACTGGCGAACGCGACACGACCATCCGACCCATTCCTCGACGAGCTGAACGGCGTCTCCATGATGACTGGAACCAGGCCAAGGTTCCGAATCGGGATCTCGGGTACCTGTGGACAGGCGTCACTAAGTTCCTGCTTCGGTCTTCGGGCAAACCTTGTACCGCAGAACAACTGGCTACGACATTTCCGACTGGTTCTGATGCAGAGATCTTTCCGCACTATGCTGGTGACCAGTTTCCAGAACACTGGACTTCGGAGAGGACCAGGAAGGCTTTCTCCGTACAAGGCGGTGACCATTGGCTGGGTTCTCGAGATCAAGCAGGGATGCACCTCCTGGCGGCGATCATCTACTACGTCTCTCTCATACGAGGAGGCATGGTCGAAGTTGGTTTCACTTGCCAAGGCCATCTCCAATCGCAACGTTGGTGGAGTCATCATGGGTCAAGGCCTTCGGACGGTCCATCCCCCTCGGGGAACAGTGAGTGCTTCTTCTATGGAAAGCCGGGCACGACGGCTACACCTGCCATGAGCACAACAACGATGACCCCATCACCATGAAGAAGATCACCGCGATGACCATCGACGAGGTGGCTTCCCTCTACCTCTACTTCGTGATCTCTGTGGAGTACGAGCCTGGGCCATTGTTCCTTCCGAGGGAGCACTCGAACCGCATGAGCCCATGCAGGTTGACACGCAGGCTCCGACTCCCGATGAGCACGATGACTCCATGGAGGTGGACCGAGATGTGAAGAGAAAGAGCCCGGATTCCCGGACAGTGGTTCTCGGCCCTGAAAGCAAACGGGAGCGAGTCATGGCTTTCCTGGAAGTGCTGTCCTCCTCGAAGGTGACCACTCGGACTCAACACAATATGGTGAACCTCTACTGGATGATGATGCAGCGTTTGCATGTCAAGTGGGATTTCCCCATGACTTGGTTCACGAATGATAACCATCATGTCGTCACCCAGTGGGATGAGTTCGCCTGGCGATCCGAGATGGCGGCCTCATTGACTAGGCCGACTTCGAGCTTTCTCTTTACATGGCCAGGCAAGAGGCACCAGACCTTGTATGCCTCCCTCTTGGACGGCGAGATCTACAAAGTGGATGACGAAACCGATAATATCGCCGAGAGTGAGGTGTACGACATATGGCCACAAGTGGACAAGGCAGACGAGGAGGAGGTGAAACAATTTGTCGACACCGGCAGCTTCAAGAAGGTCCATGTGAACTCGATCTCCAGTGAGACTGTGGTGGTCGACAGCGTTTGGATCAGGAAGTGGAAACGATATCCTGACGGATCCCGGCGTGTGAAATCGCGACTGTGTGCCAGGGGATGCTTTGACAATCAGCGGGACACTTTGTCGACGCGCTCTACAACGGCGACGAGGCTGAGTCAGCGCATCCTTGTGTCCACGGCAATGAATCATGACCATGACATTGAGAGCTGGGATGTCTCCGGGGCTTTCCTGAAGGGGCTGACATTCGAGAAGGTTCGTGAGCTTCTGGCTTCCAGAGGCATCACCTCTCCAGTGAGGAAAGTGGTCATCACTGCCCCGGCCTATGTTTGGAGACATCTGGCAAAGTTTGATGCGTCCTTCCGTGTGGACTTCGAGTGCCTGGATGAGTGGGCGCTGTTGTGCATCAAACCCGTTTATGGGCTTAATGATGCTCCATTGGCTTGGCAGTTGTGCTTGCGCGGCCACTGGGAAGAACAAGGTGGCGTGCCATCACTCTTGGATGAGAACTACTTCATCTGGCGACTCCAGGCTGGCGGCCGCTCCTCCGTGACCACTCACGTGGATGACTGTGGGGCAGAAGGACCTCGAAAATGGCTGGATGAGCAGTACGACCGTCTCGTCAAGAAGTTCGGCAAGGTGACGAGGCAGAAGCTTCCGTTTACGCGCTGTGGCGTTGTCTACCGCAAGGTTGCTGACTGCGTCTGCATGGAGCAGGACGACTTCTGCCGGAAACTCAAGATGGTGGACATCGATAAGACACGGCGGGATGATGACGATCTCACTCCTTCCGAGTTAACGTCCTTTCGGTCTGTGCTTGGAGGATTGCTATGGTTAACAGCCACACGCCTCGATCTTGTTTCGGATGTGTGCATCCTCCAGACGATGGTGACCAAAGCAAAAATCAGCCATCTTAAGCAGGCCAATGCGGTCGTCCGGAGAGCTCAAGCTGAGATCAGACAAGGTCTTGGACTGTATTTCAGGAAGCTCCGGGCACCGCTCCGACTGGCATGCGTGCATGACAGTAGCGCTGGTGGAAACGTTCGTCATTACGCACAAGAGGGCATCATGGTGCTCTTGTTCGAGGATAAGCTCAAGGGCTATGACTCCTACGAGCACGTCATCGAAGACCATCAGACGCACAAGCTTGGCGGCAAGTGCCACGTTCTGTGGGCACACGGTGCCAAGGCCAAGAGGGTGTCCTACTCCACCTCGCATGCCGAAACACTTTCGGCAGTCTCGGGCATGGAGACCTCGACACTTGTCGCTGTCCGCCTCGCTGAGCTCCTGTACACCGCAAAGCCTCCGACGATTCAATCTCTGCTTCTTCTTCAGGAAGGTGGTGTGCCAGATCTGCCCTGTGACGGGTACACCGACTGTAAAGACCTGTTTGAACTGGCGTCCGGGTCATCCAGCGTGCCCCAGGATAAAACTCAGAGATTGTATGTCATGTCGCTGAGAGAGGCTCGACTCTGCGGAAGGCAGAGGTGGCTCATTCTTACGCCGACTGAAAGCATGGTCGCGGATGCCTTGACAAAGTCTATGGTGGCCCCGCAAATCATGCACCTGTTGAGCACGGGCGAGGTTCAGTTCCACAACCAGGCCGAGCACAAGATGACGTTGCGGCGTGTGCCCAAGGTCTTGGTCGTCACCGAGGAGCACCTCAATCGGTCTGACAAGGAGTTGATTCGAGACCTGCGCGTGTCTACGTCGACTACGGCGGCCTGCCTGCTTGTGTCTCGTTCCTGGTGTTTCTGGATGGTGGCGGCTGCTGCTATCACGACCTCAACGGCGACTACCAGTTCACCAACTACGGCCACTACCAGTTCTTCGTCCTCGACAGTTCTGTGCCCTACGGTTGCTCCAGATGACGGTTGGATGTGGCTTGTTTGGCTCTCAGTTTTCATCATTGCAGCTTACCATGGCATCCTTCTGTTCTTGAGCTGGCTCTGGAAGACAATTACGAGGAGACCGACTACTCGTGAGGAACCTGACGCAGAACCTCCTGCGACACCGAGGCCACCTCCGGAACCTCCACATGCTCCTGGTCCAGCTGACGATGAGTTCCCAAACGGCGGGCGACTGCACGAGCTCAACCTCGAGACCGAGAACCTTCGGATGCAGCTGCGTGACCTGAGACGCGAGCGTGATCATCTTGCACAGTTGTACGACCAGCAGTTTGATAGATCCACCAGGCTCCAAAGGGAGCTGGATGCGCATATGGCAAACTGCCCACTCGGGCGTAATGTCTTCGTCACACAATCCGGACGATGCTGGCACTGTGATGTTAATTGCTATCACATCAGGCGATCTCAGTATCGTACTTACCGGCACTGTCAGGATTGTGCTGGGCGTTGATGTGACACTCCAGAACGCGAGCGGAGTGAACTTTCAGAAGTGTACTTGAGAGCGAATGCTGAAGCGCTTGGGCTAAAAGAGATCAGTCGACTTCTAAGTGCTTCATTGATCACCGAGACAGGGACTCGCGTTGCATGACAGTTTTTTAAGAGAACATTGCAGAAGTCTGTGCAGGATCATCAGTCACTGGGACAGCTTTCACAGGAGGTCTGCACCTGCACCTGCAGCAGTCCGCTGGGCTCTGGGTATGTTTTGTCTGAGCAGGCTGGGCTCTGTTTGCGGCTCCTCTGCTTGGAGCCGCGCTGGGCAGCCGCCCGGCAATACGTTGACGAGGCAGGAAGCTGACGCTTTGCGTTCCTTCGTCGACAAAATCATGAAGCCCTGTCAGGAACCCCAAGCCTGGGAGGACCTTGAGGAGGCACACGACACCACAAAGTGGGCTCAGCGCTAGAAGCATGAGAAGTCTGACACAGGACCTGCAGGGCGACCGCGACTTGATGCTGCTGGCAGTGTCGCAGCGCCCGGGCCTTCTACGTCAGAGTGGCTTCACAGGACAACACCAGAGGTGCTGAATGGATGGAGGGGATGGAGATGTGGACAAGATAATTCGGGCCAGACGGTCATCTGCCATGCCACCTTACATACTCGGCAAAAGCGCTAACAGCCAGCAGCTCCAGCACGGATATTCAGCTTCTGCTTCGGCAATCTGGACAGGAGATGGAGAGGTGGTTCTAGCGGCTGCCAGAAAGGCTCAAAGCTGTCTTGACTGCTTCTGCAGATAAGCATCATCTGCTTCCTGAACTGTCGGAATTCGATCCTTGCAGGATCCGACACTGTTGGACGCTGTTACTTGCTTGAACTTAGCTGAATTGCACAGGGGTTGGCTCGACATCGAGCCATTCCTTTGTAAAGCATGCTTGATGCTGCTAAGCAGATGATGGAATTTCGCAATGAAATGTGAGGCTGATCCGCACCTGTGGCTGGATGACGCCTTTGCAACAGCTGCCTCTGCGGCTTACCGGCACTAGGACGGGCAGATGACTCTGTGTCCGCTTTGGGATACCTTGGGAACAGTCGTGCAAAGGAGGAACTAGTTCTCCCCCAATCCTGTTTTCCAAGCAGGCTCGGGCAAATAAACGTCGGTCACGTGGGTGTAAGTAAATGTGTGAGAAGTCTTGTGGCCCGTGCTACAGTAAGGTTCACGGGTTCACGTGGCTCGCAGGGATGTCTTGAACAACGGTACCTTCACTGCAGCTGCAGAACTTGGGAAACGACTCGGTACTTACCAGCTGATCCAAGGCCACGATCATACAGCGCATGAGTTTTGACACAAGCGCAAAACACGTTCATTCATGGTCCAGTGCCACCAGCCCTAGCTAGAGGAGAGAATACAGGTCTTGGAGTGTCGTCCCAAACTTCGAATCTGCTTCAGCGTTGTCACTTGGTTTCTTAGGTTTGGCTTGAAAGTTTGAATTCTGGATTTGGTCGCGTGGGATGACGAATTCAAACATTGCTCACCCCGATTCCGGTACTGGGCAAACGCCTTGCTAGATCAAAGGATCCTCGCGAAATGCTGATCACCTTTGTTGGGCCCGTCACCGAGGTCCATGGTGCTGCGGCTTTGCGGAGTGCAAGGGCAGCCCAGCAGAAGCTGCGCTGTGGGGAGGCAGCCCACAAGCTCGAGCTCTCCTTGAAATTTGATGCCTCAATCACCCTGTCAGAGGTGGATGGTGCCGGACTAGGCAGGGTGGCCACGAGCAGTTGTGTTTTCAAGCTAGCAGCTGCAGTCTGTCAACAAGCTCACAAAAGCAGCAACAACATTTCAACATCAGCGAGATAGCCCACGGGCAGGGTAGAGAAAGGATTTGTGCCGCCACCCACCCTCCCGGAGTCAGCCACCAGCATGCGACAGCAGCCCATAAACTTTCGGCCATCAGCCTGTGGAGCATTTTCACAAGCTAGCTTTTTCCGCGTGTTTCTGGGATTCAAGCTTCAAGCTGTTCAGGGCCATGAGACTTTTCGGGTTGAGGTTTGATGGTCGTTGATTGATGTTGGTGTTCAGGTTGCTTAAGGTTGTTAGAAGTTTGTAAAGGGTTCAAGTTTTTTTGGGTTCACGGTTGTTAGGGGATTTCTTTTGCTGGGTTGGCGGTCTGTAGGATTAGGGTTTGAAATTGGACCGTCTGTTACTGCCCGAAGATTCCTGCTTGTCGACCCGATCCATCCAGCCATTCATCCATCGTTGTCAATATTTTTTGTTGTTCTACTGTAGGCTATCAGGCTTCTAGGGGAGGTTTGCGTCTACGTGTCTTGTAGGGTTTGATTTAGGGTTTTAAGGTTTAGTGGTGTCTCAGGTCATCGTTTTTTTTGCAGAGGTTGAGGGTCCCGCTCTGTCAAAAAGGCTCTAGAGGCTTTGTCATGCTTGGGCTTGCTTGCTAGAGTTTTAGGTGTGTTTACTATATTTTCAGGGTGTAGTGGCTTTGGCGATGTTTCAGATTTTGGGGGTTTGGGGTCTGGAGGTTTCAGGCCTTATTTAGGCTTTTGTGTTTACATGTGGCTTAGGTCTTAGGGTGCCTAGTCTGCTTCAAAATAATGTCGGGTCCCGTTTAGTGTGCTAGACCCCGGCCAGAGAAAGTGTTCCTGTTTAGTGGAGGTGGTGGGGCCCCCCCGAACAAATTCGGGTCGAGCTTTCAATCCAGGAGACGAGGGTTCGGTAGCTCAGAGGTAACAAGCTTGAGGCTTGAATCCATACGCCCGCCGCCAACAATACCTATTTGGGGCCGCGCACCTTGGCATTATGCAGCATGTCCCAAAGGAATCGGGGGGCGATGAATACTTTCGGCCAAACTGCCTACATTTAACACTAATCAGGACGCGGCCTTATGTAGTTTTGTTGATGCTTTCGCTGTTTTCAGTGTTTTGGGGTTCAGGGTCAGGGCTTTAGGATTAAGGCTGGTATACTTCTGGGTTCAGGGTTATTTGAGGGTTTAGGGTGCGCTCGCCGACGCAGTCGCTGACCCGACCCCCACCCCTGCCTGAGCGCCGTTTCGAAACCCACGGTTTTGAAATTTCTGCAGGATAGTTTACCCTCAGACTCTACTTCCAAAAGTGTGGCAAACGCTCCTGCCAAAAGCCTCCCTGTGGGAACGTGCAGCGACGGCAGGATAGGCATCAATCGGTTTACAAATTTGACCGCGCAGCCGAAGCCTGTTTGTGCTTTGCTGTTTGTTTTCCCTCTGGCACTTTTGCATCTACCTCACCCTCCGTCACGCTTGGATGCCATAACTCCATGCAGATGGGAAGCAGCTTGCGGCAAAGTATCGCGAGCTGGCAAAAGCGGCGCTTCGCCAGGAGTCATGGCTGCCTTGTCCACGCGGAATCTTCATGATGAGGCCTTAAGGCTGCCCATGCACGTACCAAGCAGAGGACGGTCTGGCCCTGGAAGCCTTGGACCACAATCTTCGCAAAGACGCTGAACTAGCAGGGTCCTTGGAGGTGGCATCCATACTGCACTGAAAGTATAAGACAGCACCTTTGCAGGGCACAAGCACGCATCAGCTTGTGCCTGGATGGCAATGAAAAAGCACTAGCTTCCCCTACCACAGAGGTCCGTCTGGCCATCGAGAGTGATGCACGGGCGCTTCAGTTTGCAGCAGAGGCCGGGGTGCACGTCTCTTTACAGGACCGGGCAGTGTGCTTTGTAATGTAGCACAGATGCAGAGACATTTGCGGAACAGCTTGCAGCACTTTTCATGAATCAAGATGACGATTCCTGCAGCATGCTTGTTTGTGTGGAGAGCAGCCCCACACCTTGGTCTTCTGTGCTGAGACTTTTCGCAATGACGCTGAGCTGGTTCTGGTTGCTGTGCGCGGCCGCGGCCAGGCGCTAGGGAGGAAAACATGGAAGCTAAAAAATGTTGCAGTTTGCACTCATAAGATGGCTCCCGACTCCCGATTCTTCGTTGGCCAGGTATTGCGTTGGGCCTCCGAAAGGCTACGAGGGGACAGGCCAGCAAACAGAAGAGTTGTCAGACATAGAGCAGCCATCGGCTGCATGATCCGTTTGTGGATAGCCTTAGGTAGTGAGCCTGTATTTGCGCACCCGGCAAAGTCTGCCTGCAGGGACGTCGTGCTGACGGCCATAGAACAGGCTGGTGCCGTAGATTGGAAGCAACGGACACATGATCACTTGCCTTTGGCATCAATAAGCAGGGTGAGCATTCCTGTAAACTCAGTGTTGAGATAGTCCTGGCCTGTGGACAGGATCCACGCGCCGTGCTGTTTGCTTCGGAGGAATTGGCTCGGGACAAAGAGGCGGTCGATCCACCAAGATACATCTGAGATTTGCTTCAACTCTAGTTGCTAGAAGCAAGTACAGCAACGCTTTCCAAAGAAGCTAGCTACTCATCCTCGATGCTGGATCTTTGGAAGCTGTGGCTGCCACGCAGGTATTGCTGGCTGCCATGCTCAAAGATCCCAGCCTTGCCGTCCACTTGGCCAACGTCGCCAGGGGGACCGAACCACAACAAATGCTGTGCTTGCTCTGAGTTGCCAGGATTGCTTCAGTCTGGTGATTTGTACACAACATGCTTCAGACATGTCGCACAAGCAGCTCCTTGCCATCAGCTGCAATCTGATTGTGAGACGCCTGCAGGATCTCTTGAGCCTGTCCAAAGAAAACAGCTCGCTTGTTGAAAATGGCCCGCTGGGAGCAACTCTGCGGACTTGACAAATTTCACACGTGGTCTCTTTTTTTGGGGTGCGCAGGCAACTCTGCTGCAGCACCAGCGGCATGGCCGGCCACCTACTGCAGCAGTTAGTTTCACCGCGTAGACATGGTTAAAGCAGGTGCAGCTGATTCAACAACCTGCCACGCTAATGCTCAGCTGCGTTTGCAGAGTGCGGTAAGTTTGTCTCGCCATTGCATGATAGGATAGCGATTCCAGCGCACTAATTCTCCAGAGGCACTTGTTGTAGTCATATGTTACATCCGGTTGCGTAGC